AAAATATAGGCATTCTGCCTATGCTTTTCCTAGTTTCTGTGCCATTAGGCCACTAGCGATACTTCTACACCCCCTGGAGGGTATGCTAGCCCAATGCATCCCTTGAACCTCGGCATTGAATTCACCGGTATTCTACTGTGTACACCTTAGCCGGGCTCAGAGTTCAAAGAGTAGATGGCGCTATCCACCGGTCAAACCACTATCCAGTGGATTGTGTAACTTATTTTGTTAACACCTTTTTTCACAGGATCAGAATCCGTTCGATAGCGTTATCCACACGGCTGCTTGAACAACTGGGTCCTTCGTCCGGTGTATGATAGTTGGTGACTGCAGGCTGCAGAATTTTAATTTCAACTAATATCTTATTCCATTTCCATTAACGTCAGCTAGCCGTTAACAGACTACGCTGAGTGACATTTAGGTTAACCGGAGCGCTATTTAGGTCTGGATGTAGTATGCAGTCTGTATGTCTGCAAATGTTATACACTGGTGCCTCTCTGTAGAGAGGCACCGGTGTATAACATTTGCTGACATGTATAACGGAGTGTCAAGTGTTTTTCCCAAAAACCGCAACACTAGAATCGAATTAATCGCAGTCCGGCGCTCTAACCTTCAAGCCATCCGTGTCTTCAGTTAGTTAAGGTAAAAATGATGTGAATTTAAACGATAGCCTGAATCTTCCACCATTTGATCAATCCCTACAAGCGAAAATCTTCGTAAAGCTAGCCAGGAGCAAGTACAGCGCTAGTAACATTTATCAGTTCACTAGCGATTTACGTTCCCTCATTAAAATATTGGTGGTTATCAAGAGCACGCAAGCGGATATGACTTTTGAATGCTTTACGCGATGCTTTTTTTGGGGTATTTTCTTTATTGTCATTCTAGGTATAATTTGTGAGGTTGAAAGTATTAGCTAGTATTGAAGATAGTCTCTGAGGTGCTTTCGTTATAAGCCGCACAAATTTAAACAGGGGTCAACACCTTTTCAAACCATTTTTAGCCTAAACAGGAAAGGTCGGTAAACTATGTTTGCCATAGCCGTAAGCTACGTGAGCAAATGTCAAAAGGAGACAACTGATTTAGAAACGTGTCTACTGACTTCGGTTGAAAATGA